GCCTCGAACCCCCTCGTAGGTACCTGACTACCTACCAGACCACTCCAGCCCAACCCGAAGACCCGAATTCCGGGTCGGGGGGGGTAAGGGTTCCACACGTGCTTTTGTCGATGTCTCCCGACCCCCCCCCCACTGGAAACCGAGGGTAAATCCGAGCCTTCGGGTTGGGTTTGGGTGGTTCGGTGGGTGGTGAGTAACGTTTAGGAAGGCACCAACTACACACCAACACCAATCCTTGCCAGGATCACCCTGGGCCCAGGATCGGTGCATACGCCCTCCTGCCTTGGGCAAGAAGGCATATACACCGATCCTGGGCCCAGGGTGATCCTGGGCCAGGATCGGTGTTGGTGTATAGTTGGTGCCCTCCGAACGTTGCCCCTCACCCAGGGCACGCGGACTGCCGAGAGGCTGGGCGGCGGCGACTGGCCCAAGCTCAGATGAGCCGCGGCTGTAGCGCGCGGCCGCATCCTCGTCCCAGTGCCTCTCCCAGTCTGCCGGCAGCGAGAGCTCGCAGTCGGCGCCTCCGCACTGCGTCAACTCCCCCTTCTCCTCCTCCTCCTCCTCCTCCTCCCCCTTCTCCTCCTCCTCCTCCTCCTCCTCCCCCTTCTCCTCCTCCTCCTCCTCCTCCACCTCCTCTTCCTCCTCCTCCTCCTCCTCCCTCCTGCTCCTCCTCCCTCCTCCTCCTCCTCCTCCTCCTCCTCCTCCTCCTTCTCTCTCCTCCTCCTCCTCCTCCTCCTCCTCCTCCTCCTCCTCCTCCTCCTCCTCCTCCTCCGTCCCTCCTCCTCCTCCTCCTCCTCCTCCTCCTCCTCCTCCTCCTCCTCCTCCTCCTCCTACCTATCCTCGATCCTTCATCTTCCATCCTCCTACTGCTCCTGCCTGCTCCTGCTCCTCTCCTCCTCCTCCTCCTCCTCCTCTTCTCCTCCGCCTCCTCCTCTTCCTCCTCCTCGATCCTCGATCCTCGATCCTCGATCCTCGATCCTCGATCCTCGATCCTTCGATCCTCCTCCACCTCCTCCTCCTCCTCCTCCTCCTCCTCCTCCTCCTCCTCCTCCTCCATTCTTTTTCCTTAAAATAATTTATCCCTGTCGCACCCCGAAGCCATTTTTTTGGACCCGCCAAGACGGCTTTCAAGATCGCCCAAGATGGTCCAAGATGGCCTCCAAGACGGCACCAGAGGGTCCAAGAAACCTCCAAGTCCGCCCAAGAAGCCTCCAAGACGGCCCAAGACGGCCCCAGAGGCCCCCAAGAGGCCTCCTAGACGGCCCAAGAGGCCTTCAAGAGGTACTCCAGGAGGACCCGCAGAGGCACAAATCATTGATTTGCCGTAGGTGTTTAAAGGATGTTGTCATGTCTTCTTTTCGGCCTTCCGACAGCCCAGACGACCCAATAGGCCCCAAAGATCGTCCCAAGGTGGCCCCGAAGGCCTTCAAGATGGTCCCAGGACGTCCCAAGACGCCTCCAAGACTACCCAAGAGGGCCCCAAGACGGCCTAAGAGGCCTCCAAGACGGGCCCCAGAGGCCCCAAGACGACCCAAGAGGCCTCCAAGACGCCCAAGGTGGCCCCCAAGACTGCCCTACAGCGCCACAAGAGGGCCCCGAATAGTTTCAGAGAAACATCCAAGACGGCTTCCGACGGCGTCAGACGGGCCAGGAGCGCCCGAAGACGGCTAAAGCGGCCCCGAACAAGCCCGCTACGGCTCCCAAGAGGCCCCCAAGGAAGCCCCCTAGAGGCCTCCAACAGGCCCCCAGGAAGCTCCCGGGTGAGCCCAAGAGTGCCCCAAGAGGCTTCCAACAGGCATCCTCCTCCTTCTCCTCCTCCTCCTCCTCCTCCTCCTCCTCCTCCTCCCCCTCCTCCTACTCCTCCTCCTCCTCCTCCTCCTCCTCCTCCTCCTCCTCCTCCTCCGCCTCCTCCGCCTCCTCCTCCTCCTCATCCTCTTCCAACAGGCCTCCTCCTCCTCCTCCTCGTCCTCCGCCTCCTCCTCCTCCTCCTCATCCAACAGGCCTCCTCCTCCTCCTCCTCCTCCATCTCCTCCTCCTCCTCCTCCTCCTCCTCCTCCTCCTCCTCCTCCTCCTCCTCCTCCTCCTCCTCCACAATTACTCAATATGAATACTACTCTCCCTCTTCCCCCGAAGGCGGCCTGAAAGTAGCCGACCCCCCCCCCGCGTACTGTTTGTTTACACACAGGATTCCCGGGAGTTGGGTTTTCGCTTGCGTTTTTTTTCAAAATGCTGCTCTCGCTGAGGCGCCGGCCTCATTTCTGCTCCCGAATCGTTCCGAATCGTGCTCCCGCTGCAGCGTGGGCCTCATTTTCGGATCGGTGTTTTGCCTCCGTCGTTCAGGATGGCGTTCTCGCCCCAGCGCGGGCCTCTTTCTCGCGCGCCCATCCGCCCGCCACCACCGCGCCGCACCACGCCCCGCCCCGCCGCACGCACACCCACCGCCACTTCCACCCACCAACGCACGCACGCACGCACGCGCACCACCACCGCGCACCGCCACCACCACCGCACTACCCCACCCACCACCACCACGCTACACCGCGTCACACCACATCACACGCGCGCACACACTGACACACGCACGCACGCACGCACGCACGCACGCACGCACGCACGCACGCACACACACCACACACACACACACACACACACACACACACACGCACACACGCACACACACACACACACACACACACACACACACACACACACACACACACACACACACATACACACACACCACCACCGCCACCACCACCACCGCCATCACGCACGTACGTACCTGGCCCACCACCAAACCACCAAGACGCCACACCACGTCACACCACAGCACACGCGCACACACGCACACACTAACGTACACACCACCACCACAACAACCACAACCACGCACACACGCACGCACGCACGCGCACCACCACCCACTACGCACACGCGCGCGGAGCCACAGGTCCGCTACGACACGCGTCCGCGGATAGAGAAAATCAGCGCCATAGTAAGGGATGGGAGGGAGGGGTAGGATGTCAGATGTTGACGCGAGCGCACCTAACTTGTCCTCCTCCCCCTCCCCCTCCTCCTCCCTCCTCCTCCTCCTCCTCATCATCATCATCACCATCACCACCATCACCATCATCCATCATCATCATCATCATCATCATCATCATCATCATCATCATCATCATCATCATCATCATCATCATCATCAGCATCATCATCATCATCATCATCATCATCATCATCATCATCATCATCATCATCAGCATCATCATCATCACCCACGTCCTCCGCCTCCTCCTGCCCCCCTTTCCCTTCATCATCCTCATGATCCTCTTCCTCACGTGTCCCCCGAAAGGTTTCAACGTCAGCTGGGAGAACACATGGTTCGATAGTTCTAGCCCAACGTTCGGCCACGTAGGCGCTTCCAAAACGTCAGTGGACGGCGGTAAATGGCCGTAGGCGTCTTCGACCCACAAACACCGCTATACCAAATGTATGCATAGATGTATATATACATGTATAGACAAACATACACACATACATATATGTATATTTATATGTATACATCCATGCATATGTACATCATGCATCCATCCATACACGCATACATACATACATGTGTGTAGTCATGGGCACTTATGTATGTATAATGTGTACGTATGTACAAAGTGATGTATACATACACAGATCGACATACACCTCTACATGCACATATACACATGTATATATATAAATGCATGTACATATACATATGCATAAACATATACATATGCATACGATTGTGCAACTACTGTCACAGCTACATACATGTGTGTATACGCACGTGGGTGTACAGGCACCTATATATGTGAATACATACACATATACGTATGCATAGACAACACCCATACACATACACATGCATATACATATACATATACATATACGTGTACATATATATCATCAACCAATATGCATATTCATGCGAACCTACGTATGCATGTGCATGTGTTTGTACAAATACACATAAATGCGCACGCACATGAGTAAATATACATACTACAAACATACAGGTCGACATACCTATACACAAACATGCACAATCATATAAGTGTTGTCCACACTGAATAAACGGAAGCGTATATACGTACCGTACGATGTAAGCACACAAAAACATACACGCAACCATACACGTATACATGTACACTAAACATGTAAATATCAGAGTGAGGGGGCCGACAAGTATCTGATTGTCCCTGGGCGCGTGGCTGCAAAAAAAGAACTCGTGGTGAGAAGTTTGTTTGTTGTGTTGTTGCTGGTGTTGGTACTGTTGTTGTTGAACCCTCACGACTGAAAAATGATTCCTGTTGATCCCCATCTCCAGGGCACATTGTATTTTGTCAATGGAAGTGCCCCTCCCGGCGCCCGCGCCCGGCTTTTTATCAGAGAAAGTTTCCTCCTCATAATGGTCCCCTGGCCCCCGGGTTACAACAACAACGACTCCCGCCTGAGACTTTCCGCGAAATCGCGCTGGCGTTCAATGATCGAAGTGGGCCCCGCAAAGCCTGAATCCATGATGCTGTTTTTTGGTTCACCTCTGGGCGCTAGAGCCAGAACGGTTGCGGATGCGTCAAACGCCCAAACATAAAACCGAATGACACCCGCGGGGAACACCCGAGTCGCTTTCATGGTAACGCACTCGTAATTCAGACCAAAACAAACGGCATACGGATTCAGGGCGGAGTGCTTTTGTGCTGCACTCCTCCTTGGGCCCTGGGCTTAGCCTAGGGCTCATCTCACTGAACAAAAACCGCATTGCGAAATTCTAGCGCAAACAAGATCTGGCACCTGCGCCCGCGGGCCCATCTAGTTCATCCTCCGAAGACCAGCGCCGCAACGCTGGGTTTCACCTCTTCGAGCCCTCGAGCACATGGCGAGAAGGGTCCTTTTCAAACAGGCAGCGCGCGCTCCAGCACGGCGCGTCGAGCATATGCAGAGCGGTGCTACTGCACCACAAGCAAGGTTCACCTGCGGCCGGCTTCGTCCAGCAGGTCCTCGATCATCTGCGCTGTGAGCTGTCCGCGGTAGATGCCCAAGCGCAGGCGCTCCTGGCGAAGCTCCAACGCACTCCACGTCCAGTAGTGTTTGATCGGCGCCGTTTGCGTGCGCCTGCTGATGCCACCCTCCACGATCGCCAGCTGCTCGTCCCCAGGTGGGGTCTCCACCGGAGCGAACTGGTCGTCGTCGTCTCTCACCAGCTCCCAAAGGCCCTTCAGGAACCGCATCGGCGCCTTGCACACACGGTAGACAACCTACGCGGGCAGGAGCGCCATCGCCAGCGTCGGTCCGAGCATCGCCGTGATCGCCGCCGCCCAGACCTGCTCCATCGCGGTCAGGCTCCTCATCACCATCACCGCCTGGCCTCTGGGGCCAGCTCCGTTCCTTGAACTCCGCCAAGCATGGCTGCCGCCAGCATCGCCCCGAACACCTGCGTGCGCCCAGAGAACGGCGCGCGAAGTGGAAGCATCGCCGGCAGCTTCAGGAATCTCGGCCCCTCGAGCGGCTTGGTCTGGTTGTCGGCCCTGTTCGCTTCCGCGTGGATCTTCGCCATCGAGATCGCCCTGCCCCTGACCTTCTGCTGCGCCCAGAGGTGCATCGTCTCCGCGCGGCGTGCCTTTCCCGCTTCCCAGGCGCGAAGCAATGCCCTTGGCCCCCGAGTTGCCCGCGTTCACCTGCGGGGTCATCTCGGACCCCATCTCCAGCATCACGCTCCTCAGCCAGATGCCCCTCGCCGAGCCGTTCACGACCCCCGCGAACTCCGCCTCCGCGCTGCTCAGCGCGCGGTTGCCCTGCTGGCCGCCCCCGCCGTCGATCAGGCGCGAACCGATGAACAGGAATCCTCCGCCCACGGACCTCCGACCAGGCTCGGGCGCCCAATCGCTATCGATTTTCGCCGCGAAAGCCTTGGGCACCCCCTGGAACTCGAAGAAGAGCTCGAACTGCGGGCGCTGCTCTAGGTAGCTCGCCAGTCGCTGAGGTAGTAGCCAGCGGTGCCAGGTGGGCGCGACCATGCCCCTCATGAGGTAGCCCACGGCCTGATGGGCGACGAACCGGTCGCGGGCCGTGCACATGGCACTGGGCGCCATGCTGCGGCAGGCGGTCGCGTACTCCGTGTCGAGCTCGTCCGCTGACTCCTGCAATCCTTCCCAATGGGAATGGAGGAGGGAGTGATCGCCCGCTTCGCGCTGCTGCTCTCGCCGATCTTCCTGCTGAGCATTGTGATGAGCAAGATATGCACGTGCTTGCGGTCGCGCGAGATGCCGCCCGAACTCCTCGGAGCAACGCGTCGCCGCCCGCTCGAGGAAGCTCCCTGGCTCGACTCCTCATTGCCTGGGGCTGCCAACCCTCGGCATCACCTTGACCTTGAAGCGCCCCTCTACCACCTCGTCGAGCCAGTCCAGAAATCCCTTCCTCCTCCAGCCAGGCAATCGCCCCCATGAGCGATCACCAGCAGCAGTCTCTCCTTGTGGTCGTAGACCTGTACCGCCACCTTGATGCGCGTGAATCCGCCATTCCCCATGACCTCCATGATTAGGTTCGGGAACAGGAACGACGCGCGTCTCGCGCCGTAAAGTGCGCGCGCGCTTCAACTGGCACGCGACGCCCAGGCGGCGGCGCCTCGGTCGTGTCCGCGAACCCCTTGGGGCAGGTGTGAGCCATGAGCCCGCGTCGAAGAGCGCCCAGTCGAACTCCTCCGCGTCGCTGGCCGCCACTGGCAGCGCGTGGCAGTGCGTCCTCCCAGTAGAGCATGGCGACCTGCTCATGGAAATCCTCGTGCGTCGGGGCGTCGGCGCGGTCGGCCACGCTGATGTTCGCGGCGTGGGCGGTTGAGCTCGTAGAAGCCAAGCCCCGCCGCAGCTGCAGCTGCATCTGCGACAGGGCCGCCGCCGCGCGCGAGACGCCCACGGCGGGGGCCAGGCTGGCCTGCGAGCCAGTATCGTTACCCTGCAGCGCTGAGCCCGTAGTCGCCGTCGAAGACTGCCCCTTGGGGCCATCCGTCAGCGCGGCAACCTTCCTGGCATTCTTTTCGTCGGCCTTTTTCACGCGGCAATCCGTAGCGATATGGCATGCTTTCCCACAGTAGTAGCAGCTGCGGGTCTCTCAGTCATTGACCTTCGCGTCGCCCTTCTTGCCTTTGGAGTCTCCCTTGGGCGTGCCTTTGCTAGCCTTGCCCTTGCCCTTGCCCTTCTGGCCCCCCTTGCCCTTGCCAGTCGCGTCGACCGGCACGGGGGCCGCTCCGTCGCCGCCAGCGCCCGTCGCAGCCCGTCGTCGCTGCGCCGAGCAGATCGTCTTCAGCTCCTGCCCCGGCTCCTCGCGCGCTCACAGGGGCGACGCGTTCGAGCTGAGGTGGTCTGCCAGCTTCTCGTTCTTGACGCCTAGCATAATCACCCCGCGCCTCGTGTTGTCTGAACTCACGTCGCCGCCCTGGCCGGTGCACTCACGCGCCAACTGCTCGAACTCCGCCACGTTCGCCATCGCGGGATCAGCAAACTCGCACCGAATGGAGCGGCCCAGCATCGCCGCGAAGCGAAGCGGCTCGCCTCCTTCGGCGCGAACTCCCCGAACAGGTGCCACCGCGCCGAGAGCCCGTCGCCTCGCGGGGCCTCTCTGACCTCGGCCTCGGCCACGTCTGAAGTCACCGAGACCAGGACCTAGCGCAGCTGAATGTTCAGCGTGGCGCCCAAGTCACTGCGCGCCGCCAGCACGTCGGCCGCGCTCGTTGCCTGGAAGAACAGATCCCCCAGTCGGGGTAGACCGCGGACACGTAGGCCCCGAAGTCGAATAACCAGTGAGTGCGCGCGGGCGGCTTGTTCGGCAGCCTAGCGCCCACCATCTGGCCTCCGCCGCGACCTGCCGCTGCTGCCGCTGCTGCTGCCCCGCCGCCTGGACCGCGCCCCCCTGCGCGCTGCCCCCCATGGCCAGCCGCTGCTCCGCCGCGCCCAGCCCGAGCCGCAGGTTCTCGTTCTCCGCGGGCCCCCCACGAGCCACGCGCGCTCCGCGGGGGCCTCCATCGCCGCGGCGCGCGCCACAGCAGCGCGACCGAAGATCGCCAGACAAAGGAAGGTGGTCCGCCCTCGGCCACGCCCCGCTGCCATCCGCGGAATCGCGCAAGCGTTCCATGATCGAACTGGGCCCCGCAGGGCCTGAATCCACGATAAGCCGTTCACCTCAGGGCGCTAGAGCCAGGACGGTTGCGAACGCATCAAACGCTCAAACATAAACCCGCGCGAAACACGCTGAGAGGAAGAGGAAGAAGAAGGGGGGGAAGAACAAAAAAGCCGCTCTCCGAGAAACGCACTCGCAACTCACGCCGAAACAACGGCACACGGATTCGGGTGACGATTCTGCGCCACAGACTTCTTCGCAATTTAGCTTGTACCCCCGCGACCGCCTTAGACCCCCTCGCATTTGATTCAGGAATCGCGCTCTCGCTTGGGGCGCCCTTGCAATCTATTCAGAAATCGCTCTCTCGGCGCTCTGGAGTCGCGCTCTCGCTGGAGACTTGCTTGCAATTGACTCGAGAATAACGCCCTTGCGTTGGAATTTCCCTCGGTGCACTCAAGCGCCGCGCCCCCGACACTCAGGCGCGCAGGATTCGCGCTCACGCCTGGGACTCCCTCGCAGATTATTTAGGGATCGGGATATCGCTGCCCTTCGCAGCCCCGCTGCAACCCTTCGTGGCCCCCTCGCCGCCCACCGTGGACTCGTCGCAGCCCCTCGTTAAGACGAAGCCGGGATCGGGGCAAAGTTTGACCGGGATAAAAATCATGCTCGGTTTTTCAAATCACTGGGGGCGCCACCGAACGGGCCTGCCACGCCTTGGGCACCATCGGCTTCGCGAGGGAAGGAATGCGCCCCGGCGCGGATGAGGCCACGGCGCGTATTTGGCCACGCGCGCGCCCGAGGGAATTCAGCGCCAAGCGCCTTTCACTCCAGAAGACCCGACGTCAACAAAACAAACTTGAAGCCCCAAGGGGGCCCCAAAGAGGCGGACCGCCAAAACAATCACGCAACCAACGCAACGAAAAACACGTGTAAATATCAAAAAAACGCAGCACTCAGTGACCTCTACGGCCACGCAACACCGCAAGAATGCCCAAGAAGGCACTGGAAAAGGAGCCCGCGCGCGGCCTGGCGACTTCCCCGCGCCGCCCCAAGGTTCCCGAAGCGCGCCGAAATAACCGTAGAGAATAACCCCGGAAAGTTTTTGGAAAGCCCCCGCACTATGCAATATCCGCCACCGAAGAATCTCGCGGACGCCTAGCGCGCACGCGCGGGCGTCCACATGGATGCCCAACTCCGGTTTCGGAGACAATCGCGCGCAACCGCCCGGGGGCTTCGGCAACCTCGCGATTGGCCCAGGGGCCCGCGGGCCCCAGGGAATCGAGGACCGAGTTCGCGACTCCGGAAGCATCGGGCGCGGCGCCAGCCAGTCGCTCGTCTCTGGCTGACAGTGGGACGCCTGGAGATCCGGTAAAACCTGAGGAACTGCTTTTCAGAGATTCACAGAACCAGAAAACGGGGCGCGCCAAATTCTCGCGTCCGAACTTCTCTGAGAATCTCTGAAAGTCTCTGAACTCGACACCCCGCGTGAAACATTCCCATAAACCCAAAACCTCGGAGCTGCCCGAAACTCTCTGAGTTTTTCGGCCCGCGAAATTTGGCGCGCCCGGATTTCCCGTTCTGAGATTCTCTGAAATCGGCCTGCGGCGGCGCCCAGCAGGTCTTCACGCGCCGAGGGTGGGGGCCGTGGACATCGCAGGCCGCGATGGTCCCGACCACGAGGTCCTTCCTCCTGCCCCTCGACGAGTCCACGCCCGTGGGCACGCTCTCTGCGCTGAGCGTGGACCGCGCCATCCGCCGGTACTTCTGCGCGACGACAGCCAACTGGCCGCCGACGGACAAGGCGATTCTTTTCCGAGCTGCGCGTGCCACCGAAAACGTACAATAGCCCGGGCTCGGGGGGAAACACTTTCGAAACATTCTCAGGCCGCCGGCGTCGTGGCTGCCGACCCGCCGCGCGCCGACCGCGAGACTAGCTGGGCCCACTACGTGCGCGGCGGCGGGCGGGCGCCCAAGAGAGCTGTCGCGACGGCGCGCGCGGCGGGGCGCCCGCCCCACTGCAACCGCACATGCGGCCTCCATGGCGCCACAGGCGTAATATGTGTGACGCACTCCCGGGCCCCCCAGCAACGCATCGGCCAGCGCCCAAGCCCCTGAAACGCAAACCTACTGCGCCCCCCGTGCAAGCCGCGCACCCGCTCCCAATGCTCGTGCACACCAGCTTTTCTGCCCGCCCTCAACAGTTTAATTGAGCGCCCACGCGTTACTTGGGCTCCTCAAGCCCTCGAAAAGTCCTTGGGGAACTTCTGCGAATGCGCGCGCTGCGCTCCACAATTCGGCGTTCTATTTTTCTTTGGAACTCTCCCAAAATCTCTGGTTCCGATTTGTCCCGATCTTCCGCTCAACTGACTCGTGGCCCCCTCGCTGCCCTTCGCGGCCCCGTTGCAGCCCGTCGTGGCCCCCTCGCTGCCCTTCGTGGCCCCGTTTCAACCATCGTGGCCCCCTCTCTGCCATTCGCGGCCCCTTTCGCAGCCCTTCGCGGCCCCATCGCTGCCCATCGTGGCCCAGTTGTTACCGTCAGTGGCCCCGCCATAATCTTCTGTGGCCCCCATGCGCATTCCCTTCGTGCCCACGCTGTCGCCCTTCGTGGCCTAGTTCGTGCCCTTCGTGGCCCCGCTGTCCTTTTTTTTTGTTTCTCTCTCTCTCTCTCTCTCTCTCTCTCTTTCTCTCGGTCTCGCTGTCGCTCGTCGTCGTCGTCGCCGTCGTCGTCGTCGCCGCAGTCGTCGTCGCCGTCGACGTCGTCGTCGTCGTCGCGGCCGGTCCCCTGTCTGTCCTTCTTGGGGCCGGATTGCCGCCGATCGGCGCTGCCGCTGGCCAGGCCGACGGCCCGCGGCAGCCCCGTCGCTCGCTGGGGCCCGGCCTGCAGGGAAGAAAGGAATACCCCCAAAAAGGGGCACGATCGAAGACGAAGAGGGCGGGCATCGAGGGTTTGGGAAATACGCGTTCACGGACACTCGAGCAGATAAGAGCGAACAGTCTTAAAATGACTGTTGTT